CTTTTTTACGTAAATGTAGTTCTTTTACTGAAATAAAGGGTTGTTTCACAGAGTGATTGTAATTGAGAAATATGCTGAATCCCAGGCCACTCATTTAATCAGTTACACAAATCAGAGTACAGCAGTGGGTCAAACACAGTACCGTATCTGCTGAGCGATATGTGAAAATGGTACACTGGCAGGTCATTTTTGAGTCTTTTGCTTTTTGTTTCAGTTTTCCGGAAGCCAACCTTCCTGGTTAGGTTCAGTCTCGCGTCTTTCAAAAACACAGCTTTATTTCAGGGCTGGTAGTCTAAAAATAATTCCTCAGGAGTCACTGAAGACCATTCCAGAGCTAAGGACAGGGAATATTGCATCAGGTGTTCAGGAACATTGAATTATATGGTGAAATTGATCTTTGGATGTGTTAATAAGTATCTGTTTTCAGTTTTGTGTTTACATTTTATTTCTGCTACTCTCAAGTGGCCGAAAGCACCAGTAAATGCATTTTTAAAAGAACTGGACTAATAGGTCTTACACCTATGTTTCTTCCTTATATAAAGTCATGTTAACTAAAGATGCACTTGTACTATTAAAAGATCATAAACAAGTTCTTTTCTGTCTGTTCAGTCTTCTGGATCATTTGTCATCCTCTGACGTGTAATTTTTTCCGCAGCAATCAGCAGTCGAATCGGTGGATATCTCAGCTTCTTATGGGTACCTTGCTGCGGCTTATCAGCGCTGTCAGAGTTCTCATTAATTTTTCAGAATAATGCCGTGAGTGGCTTTAAGATAACAGTTGACAGTTGTCACCATTCGCACAGCATTTCTTCTCTCTTCTTTCTTCTCAGTCTGTGAGTTTCTTTGATATTAAAAGACTTGTGAAGTTCTGAAAAAGACCAGGCAGCGCAAATAAGGACTACTCACACTGTGCTGTGTCTGCAAGGGTTTATTCTTGAAAGCTGTCAACAGAGTAACTTCACTCGCTTCTTTCTGATATGACATGTGTATAATCCTTACAGTGGATGTTGTGTGCGCAATTTTATATGACATGATGTTAAACGGAAAGCTTTTATAAATCAATAAACTGTTCAATGTAATGATTCATAATAGTTTGCTCTGTGGCCCTGTTCTTATCATATTGGCTCCAATGAAAAGATTAAATATTAAGTGAAAGGAGACTTCAGATAAGAATGTGCATTTCTATTAGAGCAGCGACCTTTCCCTGCAGTGACATACTGTCCTTGGGCTGATGTTAGTGTGAACCACAAGGCCTGAGAAAGAAGAGAGAGACTTGTCTTCACACGGTTCATCATTCATAAGAAAAACTGATACTTAGATCATAGCTATCATTGACTTTATGAAACCATAAGTGTTATAATACATTTTCACAGTTGTTGTATTGATTGGTTCACATTTCCAAAGACAGTTCTGCTCATCATAGTAATGATGTATTTAAAAATACATGAATTAATAGAGTACAGAGTACCGTAATAACAAGTGTGCTTTGACTCTTCTGGCGAAACATATATACACGCACAGTACTGTGCAAAAATCTTGAGCCACCACTCAAGGGCTTTTTTCTACAGTTCTCATTCACTCAGTCACACACACAATCATACAGTGTTTACATCTATGCCTAAGCAGTTTTTTTAATCTAACATTCACATGTAAACACACACACACACTGATGAATGCATCAAGAGCAACTGGGGGTTCAGCATCTTGCCCAAGAATACACGTGGACTCGAGGAGCCAGGAAGTGATCTACCAGCATTCAGATTGGTAGATGGCCAGCTCTGAGTCACCACTGGCCCTAGGAGGCAGACTTTCTTAAAAACACTCTTTTGCAAACAGAAAGCCTGGAGAAATATTTGCTCTTGAGCAATCGTTTTCTCAAGGTCTCTTCCAGTATTTGTTTGGACATTGGGTGTGTATTCACTCATTTCCAGCCCAGTCTGACAAATTTCAGGGAACTTTTTTTTAAAAAAAAAGTATTTGTTAAGTCACTTAACACTGACCTACTATGAATCGCTCAAGCATAAAAAAAAATGCTGATGCTGTATGGTGATGTGTCCTAAAAAAATTAGATAAGTGAACAAGTGGTGGAAAAACTCTAAAGAACTATCTGCAGCAGAAGAACACTATCTGAAAGTCGTATCCTTAAAATCAGTGGAAACTGGTCTTAGGGAGTGAT